TCTATTTCTTCTATCTTAGAAAGTAAGCAATATTTTTAATCATTTCCAACCTACAAATCAGGGAACAACTCTATTAATTTGCTAAATGTAAAATATTAAATTAACAAATAATTAATAATAAGTAATAATATTTCAAAATTTTCTCTTTTTATGGCGCGTTTATTTTAATAATTTAAAATAAAAATCTATACAGAAAATTTTCATTCGCATTTGTATTTACGTCATATGCCACGCGAAAATCATCTTAGAAACTGCGAACTAATGACGGTACTGCTTATACAAATATCACATTTGATGACTGTTTTCCTTCATCTTTACGTATAGAATCATGGAATATATTATGCAGCGTTGCCACTCGCATGTGTTCTCAAAAGAAAAGAAACAAGATCATCCGCGTTAAAAGGAAGACCGCAAGACGTGGTTGTAATTAAGTTTAATTTAGGACACAATTAGTATGAAATTACCAAAATATTACCAATACTCGATCTCCTACTAGTCCATTTGACCAAATCGAACTATGACCTATTGGGCAAAATGCCTTCCATTACCTAATTAATACTATTAAATTACCGTCTTTTCATTCCCCACTTACGTCAGATCGACGTAGATTTGACGTTCATTAGGTCAGGTCTAACAGACTTTCGGACCTATCTGGAGGTCAATTGAACGTATTTTCAACTAATTTTGCTGCTTGGGTATATATATACTTATATAAATATATAAATATATGTATGTATATGTAAATATATATATGTATATATTATAATATATAAATATTTAACATGTCTATTATTTTTGTATTACCATAATGTATAAAATACAGTATTGACAGACAGATATATTTACAGAAATGCAATCAATGCGACCCGAGCACATCAAGTTTTACTTTACTACAATCCATTTGATCACTTTAGTCCGTTTTATATATAAGGTATATTATAAGATGTATTATAGATATCGCGGAAAATTCGTGTCGTTTTTTCTCCTATAAATATATTCTCTTGAAAAAACGATACGAACTTTCCATGGTACATAATACATCTTATAATTAATAAGTATTTTTACAAATAAGCTTTTCCAAAATCTTTTTTGAATAATGAGATATTTGGGTAAGATACTTGGCTGAGATACTTGTATTAATTTCATATTTGTTTTTAAACAGTTAATTTTTGAATAATTAAATTGTTTATTAAAAAACGTTTTTTATTTTAGATAATGCAACATTCGATACTAATTTTATGTACTTGGCGTATAATTTTTCTTTTTTTAATATGTAGGACATGAAATTCTTTAGTTCTATTAATCCATATATGTATAATATATATATGTATAAGAGTCTTTTTAACTAAATTTTTTTGCATGGTTCGTCTCTCTTATTCTTCTTTTTCACTCTACATTAGAGAAAAAAGACAAAAGGTGAACCGTGCACACATAAGAAATTCAACTAAAAAGACCAGGCCTCTGGTATCAGGCTACTCCTTACCCTTATGAAGTGAACTGCAACGTCCACGAAACGTTAGCATTCCAAGAATGGATACAAACACAGAGATAACTCACGAAACACATAATAGCTTTTACAAACCTTTAGTATTCTGCTTCATAAATACTCTCTACACAATAATCGCCTTCACTATAAAATCTGCTTACTTATTCTAAAGTGCAAGTAAGAGTCACGACTTTAACAATAACTAATTTTAATTTAAAAAAAAAACAATTTTTAAAAACAGAGATATTACAGTAGACATGGCTCGACAAAATTAATGATAAAATTAATGATAAAATTAATTGTTGCTTTTTTTCTTAAATAACATTAAAATACGTCCCAAAATTATATTTCCCGTCATTTTCTGAATAAGGAAAACTGAAGAAATTATTACCTAGCGTTTTCAACTATAGCGAGTTTTGATCCGATCCGGGTTGGTTTAATGACGCTGTAAACTCTACTACTGATAGAGCATGTAATATCAATCAATAGCAAAGCATTAATTTATTCTATCAACGGGATTCTCTTATCGACAATTGTCGCTATCATTAACTATATTTATCAATAACTTGTGTTACGAGTGATTTTGTATCGATATTTCTTGTTATATCGAATTAAGTCCCGAAAATTGTCATTATCTTAACGAGATCTCCGGAGTCCATCGTTAACATAAACGACAATTTTCAAAACGATTTGATTTAATGAGAAATATAGGGTATGGTCAACACGATGTTGCAAACGCTTTAAAGCGTTTTTTAATTGGTTAGTTTGTAAAATTCTTTCTTCTAACTGATCCATCAAACGCTTCAAAGCATTTGTAGCGAGACTTTGACCACAGCCATAGATAACTGCTCGATACAGAATTACTTGTGATCACACGTAACGCAAGTTAAGTACAGTTAACGGTAGCGACAATCGTCGATAAGACGTTCATGCCTCTTCTACAATAAGGTCGCAAGTCGTAAGTCGTAAGAAATTGGCCAATCACAATTGAATATGACAAAAATAATCAACTACGATTGGTTAATTTCTTATGGTTTACGGCTTGCGCAATCCTATTGTAGAACAGGCTTTAGAGAATCCCGCTACTGGAAAAAAAAACGCGACTCTCATTAGTTGTCACTAATCAACGATAACGACAATTAACGATAAAACATTAGAGAATTCCACCTCAGTTGGTTAAAAACCCGCTGCAGTTGAAAACATTATATATGGTAGGTCCATTTTTTATTTCTGCACTCTTTGAATCGATGCATACGGTACAATAAGTTAAAATGAAGCAAATGTATATTTATTTCACTTATTAGGCCTGTTCTTTTTAGCTGAACTTCTTGCACGGTTCATCTTTTCTCTTTTTTTCTCGAACATCGAGAAAAAAGAAAGATATGAACCGTGCAAGAACTTTAGCTAAAAAGAACAGATCTATTGCACCGTTTGCATCAGTTCGTAGAAATAAAAAACGGATCTCTTAATTTTCGAATTCAGCAAGTAAAACTGAATAAAAAAGAAAAGATAAATCCAACAATCCCTACGTGCTCCCTAAACCTCCTAAAATGTATTAACTCCTTTGCTTTTAACAAATCAAAAACATCGCTAATGAACACAATTTAGAGCCAATACTCTTATAGGAGTTCAGAAAGCATTTCAATTTGGAACACTTTTTGCAAAAAATTAAATATATTACGAATAGAAAAGAAAAGTATAACTTGAATATCTATAATAATAGATACGAAGCTTTACACAGATTATACTCTAACAAAAATATAAAACACAAAAAATTAAAACATAATTAATATTTTCTTAGATTTATAACAAAAATAAATTAACGCTATGACTAAAAATTTTGAGCGTACCATATTTACCTAATGTTTCACAATTTATTGCCAGTACCGAAAGTCTATAGTTTACGTGTATAGATTTTTAGTACTAGCAGTAAATTTTGAAACACAGCCTTAATTTACAGTCCACTAAGTGCTTCGAAGCATTTTTTGACTGGTCAATAAAATTCTTTCCTCCCATTGATCAATCAAATGCTCCAAAGCATGTGTGTGTAGCGGCAAGTGGACTGCATCTTGGGCTAGCACACTTTAAGAACTAATAATCATTAGACTCTGTCTTTATCACCCATTAGTCCGGATCTACAATAGATTTTTAAGCCTTAAGTCATAAGAAATAGGCGAATCACAATCGATTATTCCCCTCGGATTCAATTGTAATTGGTCAATTTCTTACGGCTTAAAGCTTAAATCACCTGTTGTAGATCCGGACTTAGATGTAAATGGAAACGTTGAAAGCTCTAAAAGCGAACGCAACCTTTATAACTAGACCTACATATGTGAAATTACGTAAACAATTCGAAATGCATTAGTACTTTAAATTTACCTAGACGGTGAAGTAGAATGTGCCCGAGATCTAGATGAATTCTTAGATTCTAAGCTTCGTGAGGAATTCCTGCTTCGAGATTTTCTTGTCGCATCGAATGTATCTGCAAATTAGTCTCGTCGTATACCTCCTACATTATATTCTGATTGACATTAGCTTGCCGGTAGGATCATTATCATAATTCATAACACATAATATCTGACGTCATATGACTTTAACCCGGCGTCATTGTGGTGCTAAAATGTTACACGGACGTTGAGGTGGATCATGATAACCCGAATATTTTTTTGGTCTATTCTCGCAATGTCAACAATGGTTTTAGAAAGTCTTAGCTCCAGCTACAGGGCGGTTAGTTAAAATCTACGAAATATGTAAGAAAATACAGATGTTCAAAAATGTCTCGGATCATTATGATCCAGCCACAACGACGCTGGGTTAAGGCAAGATTCCCAGTGAGAAATTACTGTCAATTCGACGTTGAATCGATGTCGAATCGACATAAAAATTACGATTTCAACATCGAAATCGTCCAATTCGATATCGAATCGACATCGATTCGATGAGTCATTCTCGCTGGATTAAAGATACTCACTATCCACATTAAAAAAAAAATTGCTGAATTTTAATAAATATTTGTTTCTCTCTCTCTCTTAATATAGTACTAGTAAAATATTTACTTACAGTAAATAAATATTTCGTCAAAATAAAAGTTATGCTTAAATCAAATAAATATATGTTTACATTTAATAAATATTTCGTTAGTAATATTGAAACAAATATTTATTAAAATTTAATAATTTTTTTTCAGTGCACCCAGTGGGAAACAAAATGAAAAATAAAATTATTACCTTCTGAATTCGGCATATTTGCGTTACCT